TAACAAAACCATTATACCCTGATTTCCCATTTTCAATGGGTTCAGGGTATAAAATTATGATTATACGAAAAGTCCATTTATATCTTGTAGTTATTCAAAAACGTAATAGCCTGAAATTCCTGCCAAACTTGTCGTTGTTGTCGGCTGTCAGGGTTCTTGTACTCATAGGCATTACAGTCTTGTATGCTGCCCAGGCGGATTTCGGTTGTCATTGGATGGTGGCGGAAAAGTAATAAATATGTATGCCAAACCAGGAAACTCGTATTTTTCGCCATGCATAGACATCGGGTAGGTGTTGTTGATATGACTAACTGACAGCAACTCAATTTTAGTCCCTAAACAAGTAAGAAAGCTCTAGTCGAGACTGCACGAAACTTTCAGGTCGTTATTGTAACATTAAATTGCGTGCATATGCCAAAGTCTGTAGTATTTTATATATGCATTTTACAAGGGTGTTGGTGAGGCGGTGGACATAGGGGTACGGAGTAAATGACAACAAAAATCGAAATTATATAAAATAAATATAATACTACGTTAAAAATTTGGAAGCTCTAGCTCTAAAGGTGCAGGCGATATAATTAAATAACTAGCTTTCGATACGCTTTTAATCGATAATAAAATATCGGGAATAGTTATCGACACGGACCTGCGAAAAAAATATTTTAATTGATCGACGCCTTCATGCATACGGACGGACGGACAGACGGACGGGCGGACGGACAGACAGATGGACAGGGCTAAATCAAGGTACCCTGAACCCTCCAAGCTGATATTCTAATCATTCTGCAATTATTTTATGCACACATACATATATATGCATCCACACTCATCCATATCTGCTAACTGCGCAGGAAGCATCGACTGCGCTTAGATTGCGCAATATTGTGAGAATTTATTAGTTTAAAAAGTACTCTTGTAGACGGACTATCTTTATGAAACTTCCCGAACGTAATCATAATGTTCAAATATATGTTCATTCTGAAGCGAACGTATCTTGTACTTAAAATATATCACGAAAGTGATATATGACATATATATACACTTATTGGGGGCGTGGCGAATGGGCTAAAACTGTATCTCCAAGAGTTTTTGAGCTAGAACGTTAAAATTGCACGTGAGGAAATATTATCTGTACAGATTGATGAGCAAATTAGATGTCTACGCCGACTAGGGGCGTGGCAAATCGGACCTGAAGTTATGGTAATTTTTCAAATTCTGCTATATTTTGGACACTATTGATGCTAGAGACCTCAAATCTGGTATATATACCTCCCAAGATGAAACAGCTTTGGCGTCCTCCCATAGGGGACGTGGCGAACCGGAAAAGCTTATATCTCATAAAGTATAAGAGGTAGAAGCTTCAAGTTTGGATATTTAAGTTACTAGAAACTCCTGTATCGATTCCCCAAAAAATATTTTTACGCCTCTTTAGGGGCGTGGCATCTCAAAAATACCCTGTAATTTTCTCATTTTTTGGGCGTAAGCTTAAAAATTTCTCAGTTAGGTTACCGTTAGCTTGTTCTGTGAAGTGGCCAAAAATTAAATGTCTACACACAGTAGGGGCGTGGCAATCGAGAAAATACTGAATTTTTTACAATATTAGGGCAAAACTTGACTTTTGAGGTGAAGAGACGTGTTATCCAAAATCTGTAAATTACAAAATCTTTCTACAGTAAATCTGAAGTCTCCTGGTCTAAAAGTGCCTATTTTAGGCTGTAAAAAAACAATTTATCGATTATTTTCGATAAAAAAAGAAATCGGATGAGTTATCGAAAAAATGAGATAAGCTCTTACTGCGTATGGTATACAAGTATGCATGCAAAATTTGAGAGGTCTTATATCTTCATACAGACAGGACTATATTTATTCAGCACGTCGTCCTGATCAAGAACATATATACTTTATGTGTTACATACTTTTTCATAAAAGCATTATACCCATTATGATTTCCCATTTTCAATGGGTTCAGGATATAACTAGTATTTGAAATACTCCTTTTACATAGGTGAGATGGTGGATGTAGAGGTGAGGGTAAATTACAACAAAAACCGAAATTATATAAAATACACATACATATGTCTACTTTTAAAATTTGGCTGTAGCTCTAAAGGTGTATGAGATATAATTAAATAACTAGCTTTCGAAAAGGTTTTTAATCGATAATAAAAATATCGGGAGAAGTTATCGATTTTCTTAGAAAAATTCGGTATGCGCGTGATATATACGGACCTGGGAAAAAATTTCAAGTCTCTAGCTCTTATACATATCTTCTGAGATCGGCGCGTTCATACATACGGACAGATAGACAGACGGACAGTGCTAAATCGACTTAGCTCGTCGCCCTGATCAATAATGTATATACTTTGTGGCGTCTGTCACGTCTCCTTCTGCCTGTTACATACTTTTCACAAAACCATTATAGCCTGATACCCCATTTTCAATGGGTTCAGGGTATAAAAAATGTTGAGTTGCCATCAACTGATTTTGACTAGGACTTTATTGTTAAATATTGTTTATTAAAATAAATGTGCTGAGTGTATGGTAACTACATAGTTATATGTAATTATATGAATTTCGATTTTTATTTAGTGCAGTTCTTATTGACACTTCTTGTTTATTTTGAGATCGGCCATTTAATTACATCCAGCTGGTTTTTCGATTGTGGCGGGCTTTTGTTTGCAATATCGTTTTTATTATAAACTGCAGGCCTAAAATCATTGTTTCATTTGTGCATTGCATTTTCGTTGCTGAAACGAGATATTTAATAAGTTTTATTGCTGCCTTTCCACGTAAGATCAGTGTGAAACGGATACATTTTTGACATTTTACTATTGTCCTTAGAGCTGTCGCGAGTTCCAACAAAATGCTGTTACAACCCATTTTAAGTTTTCTATGCTCAGAGTTGAAGAGGTTAAGAACAAACATCACAATGTTTCTAATGTTTTTTTGGATTTTGTGGTTTTCACAAATCATTGCCCTATCGACAATGTTTATGAGGTAAGGCAATTAGCCATATACAATATTAATTAACCTAATGAATAAAAACATATAATCGATTGATTATATTCGCGCTGCCATCTATGTCCACCTGATATTTTTACTAGATCAGTTAGATCAATAGTTCATGAATCATTTAGTCTCGTGAACGATTCGACGTAATCAGTCGGGACCTGTACCGAATAAATCGAATCTCTTATGAAAAATGACTGAATGCATAAGCGAGTGGGCTACAGATTTTCAGTATTCGACACAGATGTAATAATTTTATTTTATTTAAATATATTTTTTATTTGTTATTTTTTAGCTTACCAGAAATAATTACTGATCTGCCCACCGTGACGGTGGCGGAGCTTGAGCATGTCAAGGAGCGACTGACATTGGGGATGCCGCAAGACGCGCCCAGTTCCAGCAATACGACAGAGAATCAGCCGCAGACGGAGGCACAGATAGCGCAGAAGGGTAAGTTTTTTTTTTAAGGATATCTACAATGAAAAAAAAAAATTCCTAATAGAGTACATTTACAGCTGAGCTGAACATCAATGATCCTGGAGGAGGACTGAAAATAAATTCATCAACTGGCTCCGAATCCAATGCTGCATTGGATGCAAATGTTATTGATGACGAAAGTGTCGCAGATGCTGCGGTAATTAAAAGCAGAAACGCTACGGTGGAGGAAGTGCCGATGCCTGTCTTTTCGGAGTGGGCACAAAAGCAAATTGAGGCAGAGGCAAGTCGTGAGCAAGCTATGGAGCTAGAGCAGCAGGTGGTAAACACTTCAGCCCAGCGGAAAGATGCCACGGGGTCTGGAAGCGGTAAGCCTACGTCGTTAAAGCTACGCGCTAAGAACTACGCCTCGCCAGACTGTGGCGCCAAAATAATTGCGTCAAATGCAGATGCCACCAATACGGGCGCGGTTCTGAGCCATTCAAGTGATGAGTACATGCTAAGCACATGTGGCAGCCGAATCTGGTTTGTTGTGGAACTGTGTGAGGCCGTGCAGGCACAAAAAGTCGAGCTGGCAAACTTTGAACTGTTTAGCTCATCGCCTAAGAATTTTACAGTGGCAGTGTCTAAACGGTTTCCAACTCGGGATTGGAGTAATGTTGGTCGATTTGCTGCCGAGGACAAAAGAACAGTGCAAACGTTTGACCTTCATCCGCATCTGTTTGGCAAGTTTGTGCGCGTAGACATACATTCGCATTACTCCAAGGAACATTTTTGCCCAATTTCACTTTTTCGTGTGTTCGGCACATCGGAATTCGAGGCTTTCGAGACTGAGATCCGTCACAGCGAAGAGTTAGATGATTTTGATGATGATTTTGGCGGCCAGGAACTGCAGCATAAGCCATTTACCGGGACCGACATTGGTGGTGCAAATATTTTCCAAAGTGCATCCGATGCAGTCATACAAATGGTGAAAAAGGCAGCCCAGGTGCTGGTGAAGCCCACTAAGGCGATACGCTGGTCTTCCGATTCTTCGCTCTGTTATACACCCACTGTTGGCTTGTTTAGCTGCAAAAGTTGCAATAGCTCCATCGTAGATCGCATAAACAACCTGTTGTCTTGTCAATTTCAACAGCTACAGCAGCTAGTAGTGCTGCCTCAGCTGCGGAATCATTTGTTGCAGACTCGCATTTGTCAGTCCGACTACAATATTAGCCTAGACATACCAAGAGAGGCTGATTCCTTGACAAGTGGCATGGACAAGCGCCAGAGTTTTTATCTGACTGTGTTGTCAGCGGAACATGTGGGTGCCATTTGCAAGCTTCTAGAGGCAAACTTACATAGCACCAAAGAAAAAATCGTCGATTTGACTGAGCCTGCACAGCAAGTTGATGTGACTAATACATTTTATGAAAATGTGTCCAGAAGTGAACCGTCAAAAGAGCTCGAAGGCGATGCTAAAATTACCGTACCAAATGAATCTTTGCCTGACTCAACACACATTTTGAAAGCAGTGCCAGTGCCAGAAACGCCCTCGTGCAATGAAGTACCAGCAAACAGTTTGCAACAGGATGGACAAGTGGCAGATGGCCGTGTAATACCGGACCCACCATCAGATGTGAATATATTTAATGTTCCACCTGCCAATCAGAAGGACCCGACACCAGCCCCTGCACCTCTTATGCCCGATTCGTTACCTCCATCTCCATCTTCATCTGCAGTGGACACCAACGAACTGCAGCCCAGCAGGGCCCCTTTTATTACGACGACGAACCACCCGCCGACAACTTCGGGCGAATCAGACAACGGAGATTTGATAGGCAGTGGCAACGGTTTGGATGACAGCAATCTTTCCAATTGGGAAAGCATCGACAGCTTGCTAACCACGACGGTAGCCTCAATAACTGCGGGCGGTGGAGCAGCAGCAGCTGCCGCAGCTGTTGTCAACGGCAATACAAATATGGGAAACTCTGCAAGTGCAGGAGCTGCAGGTACCCAAAATTTACAACCTAAACTAGCGCATGGACCGCAATCAGAGAGCGTATTCATTAGGCTGTCAAATAGAATAAAGGTAACTATATATTGAGAATTCGATCTATCTTAACAGAAACTCACGTACCAAGTCTTAGAGTTTAATCTCAGAAACTAACAAGTAAGGGAGCTTTAATCGAGACTGCTCGACTACGAGATCACCTGAACCCTACAAGCAACTGATATTTCAA